GACTGCTCATGCAAATTGTGTTATTGAAAGTCTTTTGTTGAAAAAGAAATGTCCAAAAGTGTAAATGATTGTCGTTTCGTGACAACGAATTTTATTCCGACAGAAATAAAAGTACATTTACAGCCAATGAATGTCAAAGGAAGGTATTGTTTATCTTTTGATGATTTTGAATGTTAATACATATGCAAGTGTTATTCTTGAACGTTCCTTACGCGCAAATGAAGGTCATATTGGTGTTAATGAGCGTATATTGACCATAATGAAACAAATTTGAACTCAAATGAATGGATATTTTCTGTAAATGAACAGCAAAAGGTGTATTGTTACTATACACGTAAAGCTTGCTTTTCGTACACTGGCTTGATACGGACGCGCCGTAAATGGTACAACCAGGCCACTTGCTCTAACAATCAACCCAATAGCCCAGATAACTGTACTCAAATTCGCAATTAGCTAATCAGAAGTCGTATCTACTGTCGTGATTTCATGCGAAATCAAGTCACTGACCTGATATCGTTACGATATCATCATACGATATCACTTGACCGAATTTGTATATGGTAAATACCTAATCTTACCCTCTTTTGGTACGCTGCGGCGGCAGATCGGGCTCATTTGGTCTCGCCTTCGGTATTTTGGCTCGACAATGTCTCACAAAACGAGGAACCATGGCTCGACTAAACTTGCCTGATATGCCTGATATGCCGATTAGGTATAATAATAAGACATTCGTCTAGTAAGTACTAATTATCAGCATCCCGCTCTGTGATTGCAGTGGCGTGCAAGTAAAGGCTTGAGTTCAACTCATGAGTTCATTACATTTGGGGCTTGTTGTATTTTGTTCAGTAGCCTGCGAAAGCAGATGGATCCCTGCCTGTTATTTCACGCCGTTGGCGTGAAATAGTGGGTGGGAATCCAAAATGTTATCTCTAAAACATAGAATGTATCACTGTACCATGCTTTCATGTCGCTGATGCTTCGTTGTATCAGGAGGTTAGTTTGTGTCAAGTACAAGTCAGGAATATGTACCTTTCACGAGGTTTATGGTTGATTTCTTTTTATCAGGCCATTGGTAGACAGTGGAAACAATGGTGTTCTGATCACAAGGAGGCTAAAAGTCCCCCAGATGTTGTAAGTTCTTATTGTCATGCAGCTCTCAACTTCTTAGACTTCTTACATATTTAAAAGCTCTTCAGTTAACACTTATAGCAAAGTGAAGCATTTATCTTAGACTTCTTGAAAATTGGCAAACTGCTGAGTGAAACTGCTCTTTTACTTTCAAGCTTGGTGGAAAGCCTATGTATTTATTGTGGATACCTTTCAGACATTAATAAGCATCTCTATGTTATTGCTTTTTGCAGCTGAAAGTGACAGAGTATGTTTTGGACGAGAACGACCAACTGATGCCAATGAACAGACTGCACGGAGAGAACACGGTAAATTGAATTCACGTTCAGTGGGACTGTTCTCTCAATTGGTTCTTCTATTTTTTAATGTGACCATTGCTCTCAAATGAATAAAAGTTATTTTGTGTGATTTTTAGATTGGAATGATAGCTTGGAGATTGGAGTGTAAAACACCAGAATGTCCAGAAGGACGTGAGGTTAGTCAAAGTTAAAGGCACTCAGTCACGTACAAAATTACCTCTAAATTGAAGGAAACCTGAAGATAGTGGTGTACTAAGAAAGAAAAAAAAAAACACCAAAAAGATAATAATAAACCGTAAAGTAACAAGAATGGAGAAGATTGACTCGGATTACAAACGACGACCTTGAAAAATTCAGGCTAAACTTTTCATGGTGTGGAAACCGTGACCTAGCTCCTTTAAGGTTCGGGAGAAAGTAGGATCTTCATCGTTAATTTGCTTATTTTCTGCTTCTCTTTTTGTAGATAATTGTGGTTGCTAATGACATCACTGTCATGATTGGCTCCTTTGCACCTCCAGAGGACATGCTTTTCAAGGTATTTTAATGGTCACTGGTCACTGGTAAAAGGTCACCGGTCACTGGTAAAAGAAAAGTACTCCGGTGATGTTAGCACTCGTTTAGCTGTTGCAGATGCGGGCTTTTTTAAAAAATAAATAACAACATGTAATGGGGAAGCCACATCAGCCTTAGCTGGTTTTCACGCGGGTTCTCTATCCTGGTCGAATTAGAATTTGGAGATGTTGGTTTTTGTGGAGGGAGGAAAACGAGAGAACCCGGACAAAAACCCTTGGAGCAAGGGGAAAACCAATAACAAACTCAACCCACATGCGGCATGCACACCAGGCCAGAATCGACCCCGGGCCACATTGGTGGGAGGAGAGCACCTCCCCTCTCACTACTGCGCTCTCCCGGCTCCCCAGAGTAACTTTCATGTATTAATTTCGTGGTTTTTATAGTGGTGCAAGTGGATATTGTGCTGAAAAAACATTTGTGGATAGATAATCATGTAAAGATTGAATCCTTGCTTCGTCATCATTGTGTTTTTAGAGAGCTTCTGAAATGGCCCGATCACAAGGGATTCCATTTGTGTACATCTCCGCTAACAGTGGAGCGCGCATCGGACTGGCCGAGGAAGTGAAGCATCACTTCAAGGTGGCCTGGAATGATCCTCTTGCTCCTGAGAAGGTCAGGAATGTTGTAGTGATGTTTGACACTACATGTCATTTTATAGATATAGATAGTGTTGACTGGTTATAATTGACGTACGTTGTCTGTAGATCATTATTTGTAAAGGTATTTTTTCGCTTGCTTTATAGTACTTTTAACTGTTGATTTTAGCGAACATACGACAGAAATCACATTTCACAACTTACTGAAGCATATCTTAGTTCGGGTTACTACTGGTGAAGCTCAATACAGGGTTTGAACAACTGGACCCGTTTCATAAAATATGCTCAGAATAGCATCAAGCATCAAGCAGAATACCACAATCACCATTTGTTCTGAAGTTACTTCGTATACAATCCTCTAGACAGATTTCAGTAAATCAGTGTTTAATCTCTGTAAGCAGGCTTTGACATTAATCAAAAGAGGAACTGCAGTCACGAACCAGGGTTTCGCCCGAATATGTCAAAAGACATAGTGCACTGGTTAAAAGATCACAAACTTATAAAATCAGAGATGACTTAATTATTTAAGTCCTCCTCTATTGACGCGGGCTTGTCTTTGCAGGGTTTCAAGTATCTGTATGTCACTCCTAGTGACTTTAAAAAGGTAAGAATCCTTACTTATTGGTAATGCGTTGCAGTAAATGTAAACCAGGCCTCCGTGACTTGTGGGCGTACTCCTACTCTCATACGTTGCGCTGCATTCTCCATGTTATGATGGGAGAAGTGTTTTAGACCATGAGGTAACGAAGATGACCTGGACGTGTCATATTCGTTCGACGTAAACAAGTGCTGTCAACCATGGGTGCTTACTGTAATTATTCTCTCTTTGCTACAGTTAAGCGCCACCAACTCAATGCACGCAGAACTGATTGAAGATGACGGCGAGTCCAGATACAAAGTCACTGATATCATAGGTAAGCCGTACGTTACAAGGTAGCTTTGTTAGATAACTACCCGGTAACATAAAGATGTAATCAATTCCTGACGAAAAAGGTAAATTTGGGTGGAATCAGGGCTTCTAACATAACTTGTTGACGTCTTCTTACTGGACATCAGTCGAAGACGAAATAACTTGCCCTCTTTGTCTTCATCCTCGTATAAAGAAGTCAATGCCATTGTCTCGTAATAGTGGCGAACGCTCATTTTCTTTAGGTCGTGATGATGGTATCGGGGTGGAAAACTTGAGAGGTTCTGGAATGATCGCTGGAGAGATGTCTGCTGCATATGATGACATTGTGACAATGAGTCTTGTAAGTAGCTCTGGCTTTTACTGTCGTGAAATATGATAGTTTATCGCAAAGAAAAACGGTAAAAAGGGAAGGTGCGAAAGGCAAGTTTTGTTTTATCGTTTTAGGAGAATCATTGCTAGTTTCGGCTTAAAAATTAGTCATAAGTTATAGTTCAAAGTGAGCTCTTGGTCCGTCCTTATAGAGTCAGCGTTTCATAACGTTGAAGTCGCATTCTGAGTTTCGGGTGTAGAGTCGAAACTAGTGCTGACATGCATACAACTGAAGTGTTGTCGTTGTTGTCGCACTGGTTCGTCGTTCTTCTCATAAGATACGCAGACGGCACGTTAAACAAATGATAGATCTGATTAGCACACATGTACCCCGTTATAAAAAGACGTTCCCAGCGTTGTCGAGTTCTTAACACCTGGTATTACACTTTAAAATGTTAGGTCAGCAGTTCCAAGATCTGTATTTAGTCTCTTAGTTTCTCCTGTTAGGTCACATGTCGAGCAGTTGGTATTGGCTCGTACCTAGTACGTCTCGGCCAAAGAGTTATTCAAGTTGACAACGCTCATATTATTCTCACGGGAGCCGGGGCACTGAACAAGGTAAAGGGCGGTATTGTGTATGTTCACATCTGCTTTGTAATTAGACAAATTTATGGGTACACAGTAATTACTTTGTTGTCCATTTTGTGTTAAGGTTTCTCTTTTTTTTTTTTTTCTTTTTCTCTAAGGTTCTCGGTCGCCAAGTGTACACCTCAAACCTTCAGTTGGGGGGACCTCAGATCATGCACAACAATGGTATACAGAAATAATTAAGTTATATCGCAGTATAATTAATTATGCAATCTAAGTGGTGAGAGACACAAGGAGCGGAGCTTGATGTTATGTAGCGTTGGATAGGATTTTCAGTCGTCAACATTAGTTGGGTTCATTTAGTGTCAGAACGTTTTCCACAACTTCTGAAAGCAATCTGTAGTTCATTACTGCCCTAGCATAGGTCATGAATAGCAGTTAATCAGCTGTTTTAGAGGTAGTTGTACAGTCGATGCTCATTTATAATACGGACACCGAAGGGGCAGATCTTAGTACTAAGTTAACTTGCAGTAATACAGAGGTGTCAGTGTGGAGAGGTTTGACTGTACTTAAATTCTACTCTGAATCGATTCTCTCTAGGTGTGACACACATGGTGGTTTCTGATGATTTTGGAGGAATATCTGCGATCATGCAATGGCTTTCGTATGTCCCAAAAGTACGTGTAAGGAGTTATGAACTTAACTGAAGTGGTCTTTGATTTGGTCATGTTTGTTTATTGCATTACCTAAATTTCTTGCGAAATGTAGTCCCTCTTTTCTCCTTTCCTATGTCACCCCATACCCTACACATAAGGTACATAAGGCCGTTACCGCCTTGGTGACGGCCTGATGTGCCACTTAGGCACGAACACCTTTGTGTATGTATGCATGTACCCAAAGGTGGTGTCTGTGAGATACGCTTTGCAACGTCACATTATCGAGCCGTAGCCTACTAAATAAAGCTACAGAAAGGCGCTTTAACATTGTTTTCACTTTCTGCATTGTGATACATTTTTTTCAAATATTTGTTTCAACATTTTGCGGTGTTGTTTTCTGCAGTGCAAGAATGGTCCTCTACCAATTTTGAAGACCAGTGATCCTATTGACAGGGAAGTTGAGTTCGTTCCTCCAAAGGCTCCATATGACCCACGGCACTTCATTAGTGGAGCACCAGATCCTGGTATGTATTTTTCACTTATTAGTGAGCGGTCGCTATCCTTTTGCAAACAAAACAAAACACAGTGGTAGAATAGTTAGGAGTAAGGCCTTGTTTCTATGCGACTTGCTTCGTCCATCAATACCTTGCATGGCCTAGTACTGGTCATCTGTTTAGGTGCGAGTTGCAACATCGATTTGATGCACGATACCAATGGAAAAATTGCGTCATTTCTGTGTTATTGTCGACAAGCGTTGTTGCTGGAGTCCTGTTTCAACACAGCTTCTGTCGTGACTGGCACCATGTCATACAAAGGCCGTACAAGGTCTTGATGCATCCATCCAAAGTGAACTAGTCAAGAGAAGTTTGCTGTATGAAGCCAACTGAAATTTGTTTCATTTATGGAGAATTGTTGACTGGATGTGTTCCTTTGCAGACAATAAAGATGTCTGGCTAAGTGGTTTCTTTGACCGCGGTTCATTTGTGGAAACATTGGACGGATGGGCAAAGACTGTTGTATGTGGAAGAGCCAGGTAGAACCTTGTTCCATTGTTCTGATTGGTACACTGACTGGTGTACTAATGTAGCATGTACTAATGAAGCATTTGCGTTATAATGATCAATCACGTATGATTTCATTTACGTGTTTGTCTTTGTAGGTTGGGTGGTATTCCCATGGGAGTGATTGCTGTTGAAACCAGAGCAGTCGAAGTTGTCATTCCTGCTGATCCTGGAAATCCTGATTCCGAAGCCAAGGTAGATGCTTTAAACAGTGCACTTTATATCTGATTAATAGATCATCACGTGGTCTGAATTTGATGGCAACAAGGATGTAAGCACGTTAGCCGAATCCGTTTGTTTGTCCCTAGTTGGCCTGGGGAGTCGCTGGTGTCATTTTGCACCATAGAAGAAGCTGGCCGTAGCGTTTTTTCGTATGAATGATTGGTAAAGGAACTAATTTCCCCCAAACTTGATGTTTTTTTTTTTTTTTTTCCCGATTCGTTTCAGATCATAGCCCAAGCAGGTCAAGTGTGGTACCCAGACTCAGCCTATAAAACTGCCCAAGCCATCCTTGACTTCAATAAAGAGCAGTTGCCATTGATGATCTTTGCCAATTGGAGAGGCTTCTCTGGAGGTAGGGAGAAGTCATGACCACAGTATTATGATTAAATTTCCTAAAGTTGGATGAAGTATCAACAGCATGGTACCTTGCCCATCTTAGGTTGAGGTCCTAGGTTACGTCAGATCATTCAAGTACGAAATACCCTCATCTGTCAATTACTCACTTTCCAAAGTCACCACTGTTTGTGTTGGTGCACATGTAAGTTCCACGAGTTACTCATTGAATCGTTTTCATTTGTGGGCTGCGGTCAAACTATTTTCTCACAGAAACAGGTCTAAGAATAGAGAAAAACGTGAATAACTGTAATAAATTATGGAAAAAGGCAAAGACCAACCGGAATATGGGTGGTCAAAAGTGGACAAGGTAAAAGCTGATTGGATTGAGTTAAAATTGATTTTTGTTGGGCTAGCATCGGTATAACAAGAGTTCCATGATGCTCAGACCCTATCAGAAAATAAATTTTTGTTTGTCAGCTTTAAATGTACCGCTCATAGTCAATAAAGACGGACAAGACCAACCCCTTCTAGCTTGCTCAGTACACGTCAAAGTTGTTAACAGTTGCTGACAAACATTTCTTTTGTACGGCCAGGAATGAAGGACATGTACGAGAGCGTGTTGAAGTATGGCGCCTACATTGTTGATGCTCTACGAGAATACGAACAGCCAGTGTTCATCTACATTCCTCCCAACGGAGAGCTACGAGGAGGAGCCTGGGTTGTAGTAGATCCAACAATCAACCCTGAGATGATGGAGATGTACGCTGACCAGGAGAGCAGGTGAGATGTTGTGCCTGACCAGTTATCTGCCCATGCAATGGTTGTGTAAGATCTAGGAAGGGTTAGTTGCTTTTTAATTTCAGTAGCCCTCATTTTCGTCTTTCAAACAATGATTGGTCGACTTGTTCATCTAACATCTAATTGCATAAGCAATTGATTAATGTTTTTAACTGTCCTAACTGGGAAACACGTTAGCTCCATAATTTTCGTTGCGCATACTTTGAACGCAATGCAGAGATGTCAACCACGTGTAGGTCTTCAAATCGTTTGTTATCCACTCTGAAGTAACAAGACCGGAGAAAAGATTTTGCTTATAGAAAAAGCACCACACTATAAACCTTGTGATATTTTTCAGGGGTGGAATACTTGAACCCGCTGGTACAGTAGAAATCAAGTTCCGTCGTAAGGATCTAGTGAAAGCCATGCACAGACTGGACACCAAATGTCAAGTAATTACCCAGGCCCTCGCCTCAGCAGGTAACAGACACGGCTCTTTATACTCGGGAAGATAGTTTTTACTTGGTGTGTGGTGTCCATGATATTATGGTGTACTAAATTACTGTTCTGTTAGATGTGGGAATTTCAGCATCTTTGTTTAACATTTTGTTGATTGGAATTGTCAGCTTGTCGCATCATATCACCAGCCACCTTGTCTTGTTCGATTCTGCAAGAGAGACCATGTATTTATTTGACGTTGTATAACTCCTTGTATTTCTTGTGATTTCCTTATTTCAGAACTACCCGTTAAAGAACGTAAAACTCTGGAAAGACAGCAGAAGGAACGTGAGGAACAGCTTTTACCCATTTATCAACAGGTAATGTGGCAAAGAAAATCATATAGCATTTCTACTGTCTGCGTGTTAGTCGAGGCAAATAGCAGTTGTTGAAGTTGCTGTCCTGAATGTAATACAGAAAGGCTTACCTGGTTTATAGGTAGGTTTGCAGTCTTGGGTAGGGATCGTGTAACATTCTCAAGCCTATGAAGAGGTCCCGGGATCAAGACATGCTCCCTGTCACTGCATGGATTTGTGTTCTGTAGTCTCGAATTCAACTCCTCCATGTCTTGTAAATAGCTATTTGCAACAGGTCAGCCTCCAATCAGTTGGGACTTTCAACAGATTTTGGGTTTTGTTTACAATATTTGTTCCTTCATTTATGGCGTAGCACGGCAGAGCGGAATTTTATGACACTGAACAAAGTGAATTTGTTTTATTATTATTATTATTATTATTATTATTATTATTATTATTATTATTATTATTATTATTATTATTATTATTATTATTATTACTATTACTATTTTACGTTTCTTTTGGCCGTAAGCAAAAATTTTCCCGCGCTAATCTTAACTTACTTGCCAGTTTGTTGCATTTAGACTTGACAGTGGACAATTAACGACTGATTAGGGCTACTTGTGTGACTAAATAACGTTGTCATGTTGTAAGTCTGTTAAAATGTGTTGATATTCACAGGTTTCCGTAGAGTTCGCAGACCTCCATGACACCCCAGGACGTATGCAGGAGAAGGGAGTCATTGCCGTTAGTATTTGTGTTTCACAGTTATAATCAGGCTTTTCTGACATCTTCCTTGTCGCTTCAAAGCAACGTAGTTGAATTTAGTTTGGCAATTTCCTAAGTAGGACGTCTTAATATCGAAACACAGCCCTTAGCACGCACGCAGACAACTTGAGAGGCTTGGTTAGAGGTCCTTTTAAGAGCTGCCGCTTGAAAGAGTCATTTTCGGTTCCTCCCGATTTGCTTATAAAAGGCCTACATTCTGATTGATGGTAAAGGCAACAGAAATATTCTTGTGAGCTAATATCTCTACCTATAGAAGCTTAAGCACTGGGCATTGCGTAAAAGACTTTTGTTGTGTTTGAAATTATTTCTTACTCTGTAAGGGAGTCGTTGAAAGTTGCCTAAAATTTGGTGGAGAATTAACCTCCGAGGACCATCATGGCGCTGATGTCCAGAACTTGGGTGGAAAACGATCAATAAAGTTGAAACTCTGGCATTTTACATAAGTCTACATAAGGACTTTGTCTATAGATTAGCAAAATCGGCCCACCCAAATTTTCAAGTCTGCTTTGGTCTCTCAGGCAGAAGTTCTGAGACACTTTTGCATAAACACCTAATATAAGAACGAAATAGAGTTTCAACTGGACTTCATCATTTTCAGGAGGTACTCAAGTGGAAGGAGTCACGTCAGTTCTTTTATTGGCGTTTAAGGCGAATCTTGATGACGAGAGACGCAAAGAAGAAGATCAGGCATGCTAATCCGTAAGTACAAATATTGCACCATGGCACCGTTTGATGTGGAAGAAATTTTAAATTTATCTTTTGTTTTCTGTAGTGATATTTCAAGTCGGCAGCTGTGTTCTATGCTGGAGAGGCTGTTTCTTGAGGCACATGGAAACACCAAGGTAAGCGTTGATTCACATTTTCTGATACAGATTTTACAGTTTTTTTTGTTCATCCTTAAAAGCAAACGTATTTTCAATTCACTCTCTTTCTATTTATGCTGTAGTCGTACTTGTGGAACGACAACAAATCAGTTGTGGAGTGGCTGGAGAAAGAGTTGAGTCAGGCTGAACACTCTGTTATTGACGAAAATGTCAAGTGGATCAGCAGGGACTGGATTCTACGACAGATCAAGACGTGAGTATTTTGGAACATTGTTGTCTGCCTACAAGGCGGAACAAAATGGATTGGACCACAGCGAAAGAAAACAACCACTTAGTTGATGCCTGTGGTTCATAGACGGCAATTTTTGAGATAGAACATATGAACCCATTGTGTAAGGCTGCCCGCAAGGCATAACACCATGGATTCTACTTGAGCGTGATAGATTAAATAGGAGTTTATTCCCGTGGCTCGTAGAGGTTTGAGATATGTAGTCTCATTGCTATCCTTATTAAAATCAAACTAGTAGTCTATTGATCCGATGGAGCAAATCTCTCTGGTTGTTTGTTTAGCTTGTATGTCCAAAACGTAATTACAAGAACTTGTGTAACGGAGCAAGAGAAGGGGATGGACTGACACGAAAGCAGTGAGGAATCTACCTGCATTTGCGCAGAGAAGTCAGCGTTTTCTTTGTCCCTAGGCGTGGCTTGACATTTTTTCGTCTATTTGTCGTCAGGATAAAACGAAAGCAACTCTACTGTAAGCACGTAGAAATTTATCAGAAATAGTCAGCTGCACTTGAGGTTTTGAGGTGCACTTAGTATTAAAATGATATTGATGCTTGGTAGGTAAGAGGTTCTGTTTCGTCTACTGCAGACTTGTACAAGAAAACCCTGAAGTAGCAATGGACTCCATTGTGCACATCACTCAACAAATGACCACAGCAAAACGGGCTCAGGTCTCCAAGATTTTGGCTGCAATGGACTCTGGCAATAATGTGGAAAATTCGAACGGAGACTCAGCGAGCTAGAATGGGACTTGATTCGACTGGACAGTCTTAACGTGCATCTCTTGGAGATGGTAGCGATTGTTGTTTTAGGTATGATTGTTCAGCAGGCCAAGAAAAACTGCGTCCTGTGGACGATAAAAAGGTATATTTCTATTCCGGGTAATTGGAGGTGATAGCAATGTTCACAAAACTGATTTTGTACCTAAAATGTTGCTGTGTTGTGACAAGGACTTGTACAGGAGTACAATAAAAAGCTAAAGCAAACAAAACAACAAGGCCCTGGTTGGAGGGCATAAAGGGAGGGATTGATACTCTACTGACCATCCAAGTTATGTTTAAAATAAGCGCATTTTTAAACTCTGGTTTGCCTTGCGCAGAGTAACTACATATTGTCAAGATGAAATAGTGCTTGAAATTTTCTCCAGAAAAAGTAAACGAGTTTCAGTTTTCCCTTTGTGCTTTCCATCACCGACTGGGTATTGTGGTGTGGGGAGTGAAAATGTTTTTGTAATTAAAAGTAGAAGTAAAGTTTAGCTATAATCATTTTTTTTTTTCAAGAAAGAATGTAATTCAATAATTTCTTTCGTGACATAGGTTTGAAAATTTCATCGTGACATCAGCACGAACGTTTAGATTAGTGTTGTTACGTGATTTGAAGTCAAGACGTTCACGATTAATTCCTTTCTACGACCAGCCTAGTTAACTTGGGGAAGCGTCAATAGTAAATAAGGTTACAGTAAAGTGTATCAGAAATAATTGTGGGTGGGGAAAATAAAGTTTTTCGACAAGAATATCTGCAATAATATTGTACGTATTTAGAGATTCTAAAAAATCAACATTGTGGTAGTCTTAATAGGCGAACATTTTCCTTCGATTTGTTATCATGATTTCCGTCTCAGATTAATTTTTTTTTTTTGAACACGTAAATTTTGCTTATAAAATTCAATATACTGTAGTCTTTAGCAACCATTCTTGTATCTTAGATGATGACATTAGACTTTAATACTACTACTGAATGCAAGTTTTGAATAAAAGCAATTTTAATTTGATAGTCGATAATCTACGTTAATTGTACAGTCGGCACAAGGTCAGCAACAAAGGAGTGAGATCCTAAAAGAACCACTAAAGCCAGCGGGAAGCAGCCTGCCTCATGGAAGGCGTGATTCCACTCTCACCATTGAGCATGGAAGCTCTCATTTTAATGCAGTACGCACCAAAGAAATAAAGATTCCACTCCCTGTTTCCGTCACACTAAGTTCTCCTTAGGTTATTAAGTGAGGTAGCGTATGCAAGCAATGTTCTTGGCGTTGGCCAATAGAAACGCCGTATTTCCTCGGAGGATTTCCTACCAATGGCACTTGTTCATGCTCCGAAGCTTTGAAAACAGGGTAAAGTGACGGATTTGGCAGATATTGGTAGTCACAAAGTTCAATTCAGTTACTGTTGGCTACATGCATGAATATCTGCGAATTCGTCTCTTGATTTCTTGTTCGCTGGAAGAATTTTAATTTATGTTTTGTGAGCAATGATTGCATAACATCTCGGGGACTTCACAGGATCAAACAGCCTTACGACACAGGCAGACTTGTAGCCCTGTTGAACATGAAACACGAAAAATGTTAAGGTAGCGTCCAGACGTTAAGAAACAATTTTCACAGGTTTGAGATATGAATCACTCCTACGACGGACCTTTCTGTTACAGGAAAAAGAATACACACATTCTCCTAAGGGTCGAGCTTTGTTCAACTCAGATTTCATTACTCAACTCGTGTTTCTCAGATTTCTAACGGGAGGGAACAATAACTTGGCCAAGGTGTTTAAATACTCAAACACCAAATCGCCACTTTAAACTACTTGTTCTGACGCAAATTCTGTATGTTTATATACATAATGTATGGCGATTCGTTTTCAGTTAACTCTATTTCTCTGTCGTTTTGCGATCTTTGACGCCATAGCTTTCTTTGAGTTTCAACATTTTTCAAAGTTACTGGTTGATATCTACTCCGGTTTAGCTTAGGATTAATTTTTTTTTTCAACTCAAGAGTACCTGTTCATAGAGGTAAGATAATCTGTCCAAGAGAAACACACTCTCGATACAGGGGGCAATAGCTGCTCTAAGCTGTTGAAGGGAAACAAAATAAGTTGGTTATGGCTAGAGGCGATTAAAAACACATAGTGGAGTTCTCTAGCTTGAAGTTATTAACATATTTAGTCGAGTTAATCCACAAAAGTTCTGTTCATTAATGCTCTGTTCGATTGAACAAGAACATAACGCTAGATCAACACACTCCAAAACGGTACTCGTCTGAGGTAAAAACGTCACAACTGCTTCGCACGCTATTGGGTCATGCGTCTTACTGCTTGACTCCAGCCCTCTAACACTGACTACTGTCGTGTGGCTCTCACGGAAAACTTAACTCCCCTTTTCTCCAACGTACATTTGAGACTCCAAGAAAACATGACCTCACCTGATGAAAGGCGTGGAGTTGTTTTTTTTGATTTATGAATCTTTCCAGGTATGATTCCAATTCTCCGTCTGAAAACTTCCGATGAAAATGAGGTACATAGTGAACAATGTTATAACAATCCAACAAAAGACAAACAAAACAAAAAACCAAGGCGGAGACATACTTGCGCAGAGGACACTTCTGTACACATGTAGGACACTAAAGACATAAACAAACCTCGCTTATCCGGTCCTCCAAACCCAGTTTTTTCAGACATTTGTGGACATACTCCTTGAAATCCTTACATTTTGCCCCAGCTTTGCCAACATGCATTCCTCTGAAAATTAACAGAATCAGAACTAGAGCGTACAGTGCCTAGTCATCCAGGGCAGAGAGTGAAGAGGCAGCAAATAAGGAGGAGTGTGGCTGAGTAGTTACAGTGTCGCAGTTTTGAAATCACAGCTTTATCGTTCAGTGAATTTCCTTGTAAATGTGAAGAAAGGCAAATAAGTCAACAACTTGACCTAAAATTTACCAAGCAGAGATTTAGTTCTGAATATCAAGTTTTTTCATGAACGCGAAAGCAGCTTAATTACGCAGATTAGCGTTTGAAAACGATAGCAACAAGAAAGTTTCTCAGACATCTTTAATAAATAAGCAACTTTACGCTACTGGTAACTTAAAGTAGGAAGGTCAGAAACGTGTAAGATACGTACCTGGTAAGTTATTAATAGCGTTATAGATTTTTATACTTGACATTAAATCAGCTATGTGCTCAACTGTACACATATCCATACTGTACATGGTAGTGTATACAAAATGTGACACATCCATTGGTTGAAATTAGCTTGTTTCAAGTTGAGGAAACTCTTCCCTTTTTGGACCATTTAACAAATTAAGCAGAGAAGATGCATTTTTTAAACAATTTATCCGGAGTGGGGGGGGTCTCCCTTATAAAAAGGACAGGATACTCGTCGGAAATTTTGAAAGTTTTGTGGGTTTGGCTTGAAATTTTTTTTCTCCCCTAAAATTAGTACCAATTCTTACATAACACATTTTATCTTTTGTCGTATTTTTTCGCCTCAATACCCTAAAAGGTACCACAAAAGCTCCAGCTGTGGACCTTTTGAGGCTTAACACCTAAGAGCTACCAAAACTGCTTTTTAAAATGCTTTGAGGTACAATGAGTACCCCTGTCCCCCTATATGGGAGTCCCCCCCCACCCCCCCCCCCCCCTTCAATCCCCATCCCCGGGCAAGTACATTGACAGTAATATCCAGTAAAATAGGTTGAGCTGATAAATAAATAAAATAGATAAAATTTCGCATGAAAACAGACACTTTTACCAACCTGCCATCCAAGTCAAACTTCTCTTTCAAAATTACCTAAAAAAGTGATCAGTTAAACAAGTCAACCCAAGCAGTCTGAAACATTACAAAAGCAATGCATGTAAACTATTCGACAGTAAGTTCTTCATAGTGTGAATCTCAAGTGACATAATTTATCAAAGACAATTATTTGAAAAACCAACACGATTTTTCAATGTACATGTGGTCCACACTGTGCTCAAAGATTTCACCATTTCCCTAAAATATTCAACAAAATGTATTTCAATGTCTTTTGCCTTCTGCTACCCTTGCAGAAATTCCAGTACAGCTTTACACTTTCCTTTAAAATTTGTGACTTTTGTGACCCCCACGTCAGAATCTTCAATGACCTTTCAAGGGATTTTATGCTAGAAAGTATACCAATTTAAAGAAGACCAAGTGTTGGATGCTTTTAAAACTGTGGCTCAAATATTCAAATACTAGATATGTGTTGTCTTCTTATCTGTCTATACAGTGTAGATATTATTAGTTGATGAGAGTGATTTACCTGAAGAACTGCTCTGTACAGTACACTTGGAGGTGGACACTGAAACGATTGGTCACACACAGGCAATTAGGGACACAGTATATATTTACTGCTTTCAGTTTTTCTTTAGAAAAAGTGTAATGCAGCATTTTCACATCAGTCATATTGGTGCAGCAACTAAAGGAATTTTTGTTTAAAAGAAGTGACCCTTTCCCAATTTGAGATGGCTTCCGTGATGTCATTTGAAAATGACAGTACTACTAGTCAACACAGTGTCTTAGAGAATCACTACACCTACATTGTATTAATTTGCATGAACTTGATCAAGGGCAAAATAATAATGTGAATAGCCACTAAGGAAAACTGTTAATTTTTTACAATTAGTAACCGTCAGATTACATGTACTTAAGACATCACTGTACATGCATAATGCAGTTTTTTCTTGTACATTTACTACTGACAAATTAAACAGCTTTACCATGGTATATACCTTTGACTCCATAGCAATTCTGTCTGCTGCCTGGATATAAACATAAGGAACATTTTAGCACAGTCAAGTACATTTCATGTACAAATCTTGGAGAAATAATATAAATTGAAATACAAAATAATGATAAATAATAACAATAAGTATAATTATTACATAATATAATAATAATAGTAACAATAATAAATAGGTTTTAATAGTTTATTTCTTTTATTTACTTTTACCTTGTAATATACCGATATTGACGTTGAAACCCAGGAGGGAGCCATTATCTAACCACTGTTGAAATAGGTTTTAATAGTTTATTTCTTTTACTTACTTTTACCTTGTATATACCAATTTGTATGGAATATGTTAATTAATGTTATGATGATGANTATAGTGGAATGTGTGAAGATTTGTAAATAGGTTTTCTGAGGAGATTTCAATAAAGTTCTTGTTATCATAATAATAATAATAATAATAATAATAGTAATCAGTAATTAATAACAAATAATATTAATTTTTGAGAATCATTTCTCCAGTGAAAAATAAACTATTAATAGTTTAGTACCTGCTGCGCAACCATTGTGGCATTTCTGCTTATGTGAAGTCTAAAAGGCTTTAAGAACTGGCTCATGGGAAAGCCTGGGTTATCTGCAGTATCATCACATGCTGGAAAAGTCATTATGATATCTTACATGTACTGTATTACTAAATTTAAGACTTGATCTCTACCATGGCTAGCCCACCCTGGGGCAGAATTAATTGGACTACAGTGTAGGTGGAGAAGTGGCCACTGACAAGAACATTTTAATAAGACTGAAAAGTATACTGTTGGATGTATTGTTGGGAGAAACCATCCTGTCCAATATGCAGAAATGGCTTCATGTGAAGGTTCAACTGTTGTTACAACAAAAAAATAATAAAAAAATAACATTATTTTATATTTTAATAGTTAGATACATGTACAAGTATAATGGACATCTCATGTTCAAGTTTTGAACTTGTTGTATTACATTAATTAGGTAAACTTTTTTGTTGCCTGAGATGTTTGTGGACAAATATACAGTGTGCCAAGTTTAATACCGACAAAATTAATTATAAAATAATACAAATGTACCATTCTCGTCCTGATACCTGCCTGTCCCCCAACTGGGTCTTGGTACAATATTATTTAAAGCTGGCTTTGGAGACACTAGTTTCTTAGACTACAATTTTCACTAATTCAACACTGTTGTCATATTTTACCAAAGATATCTAACTAAAACCTTTCTCTTAAAACACCTACATGTACAGATCTTTAACTTCCAAAGTAAAATTCTGGCCAGAAATGACATTTACTTGTGTATGACGGACTTAACTGAAAATTCTCCAGTACGCCAGTTTTAAACTTCCTGAAGTAAGGGGCATGTACTAATGTACTGTAGGTGCTGTAATCGAACAGTTTTAGTTTGAAATCAACTAGTGGATATTTTCAAGAATGAAACCAGCATTAGATAAAATCTTAGTCCAAAAATGACTAGCCAATCAAATCATGTGTCTCTAGAGCCACCCATTCCTCATGCCAAGACCCCACCAACTAAGAAGGACAGGCAGCTTCAATGGAGAAAAGAATTGTACATGTACGTAGATGTCTTGTTATGTCAGTAACTCAAGAGATATCAGTCTTGTTCCCACCTCCGAATTCCTGTGAAACAAGGTGATAACAGCAGCCAACAATACAAATCACCCTGACAGAGGCCTCACTCACAAAGATTCGTAGTGCCATTGGAGCTAGGTCACCACATGTGTGCAAGCCAACTATGAACATTCCATTACATCCTGTGGTAACACCATCAGAAGTTCCTAGATCATCGAAAAGTCTTGTAAGCCCTCCATTAGCGACAAATGATTGATCAACAAAACCAGTAACAGGGACAAATGAAGTTGGGCTTACAGTCTGTGGTTGTTGTGACTTTGAATTCACTACATTAGCAGCAAGTCCTGAATCAGTTATCTTACCAGACATGTTTCTGCATAGCATGTCACAATGTGTTGCACTGTCACAATGTTGAGAATTTAATGATGGCACTGATGACTGCGAAAAGGTCTCTTGTGAGCTGGCTTCTGTTGCAAGCTTAGATTTACATGTCACATCTGTAGAATGCTTAGATTCTACAACATCAGCTTCTGAAACAATGGGTTGTTTGCTTTCAGCTCCAATTATACTTTGCATTGGATTGCACACACATGAGGCTTTTTGTTGATCAATGATGGATGCCTTATTCAGACCAATGGTATCTACATGTATATTGTTATCATCATGGCTACAAACATGTGAAATGGGACAAGTTATATGATTACAGTATTTTGACGATGATTCTGAATAACCATCCTTTGTATTTCCTACATCTAAAGATCTTCCTAGTGGTTGTGAGTCAAGGTGACCACAGGTGATATTTCCTTCAGCTAAATTACTTGAGGCATTGACCTTTTCTCTTTGAAACTTTCTCGCTAGTCCTTTCCATGCTTTCAAAAGTCTTCCATTTCTTTTCGCTGCATTTTGTGTATTACTATGAGAGGAATCAACCCCTATGACATTTAATCCATACTGCAATGCTAAATGTTGACTGAGGTAGCCTTTACCACTTCCAAGATCCAAAATCTGAAAAAGTACATAGTAAGAGTTTTTTTTCGGATAATGTACACCCCATTGAGCATGGGATAGACAAAAATCTGATACTCCTTATATTCCTCTTTGGGAAAAAAGCTGTTATTGGTCTAAAACATAGACAAGAAAGAATGTTTAGTGTAGATTTTAGCAGCTGTGCCAGCAGCTGTCACAAGGCAGAAGCGTTTCATGAGACCCAATAATGTGCAGTTCCAGAAAATATCCATACCTGTACATCCACCTTGTGAAACCCATGCCTGATATGCATATGATTTCAGTCGGTACTGTACCTCAAGGAAGGTCGGCATTTCAAGGGGGAGGGGGATTAATTTCCAAAGCAAAAATGTTTCAAAGGAAAGTATGAATTCATCTATACCAGAATTTCCAGGGGGTTGGGAGTTCAAACTATCAAGAAAATCTTCCATGGGAGGGGTATGGATACTTTCTGGAAAAAACACAAATCAACTGTGAGGGAAAGCACTGAAGGAATCAAACCCACAATCTTCTTCACACGAGTCAGATACCCTAACCACTGAACTACTTATTTCAAATGTGAACAGCTCCCATGTGAATTCTGAGCATTTGGATCAGGAGTTTAATATGAAAACATTCTCTCTCTTTCTCCTCCCCTCTTCCCCGAAAGGGGTTGGGCCATCCTGTTGTTCATGAGATTTTCTGAAGGAGAACTAGATTTAGGGAAGTCCCCAGAATTTCTGCAAGGTTGTCCTGATGGCATTTCTGATCTTTTGATTTTTGGGGGGTTCAGAAGAAAGTTGGTTTTCTTTTAAGGGCCAGGGTATAAAAACATCAGAGGGTATTCTTCTGGGCATTTCTGTCTGTCGAGGTTTTACTGTTGGCAGTTCAGCTTTTATCATTTTCTTAAAGGTTTAAAGAATAGAAACTTTTGAGTCACCACCGGTCCATGGTGGGAAGGATAAAAATATGGGTATGGCCCACAGTGATAGATACATAGTTAACCAACAATACGATATCAGCAAAATAAAACAAGGGCGGACCAGAGAAAGGAATATTTACCTTGGTGACTTGAAATTGCTTGACCAATCTGTTGATTACATCTGACATAACATCCACTTCATAAGATTTTTTTGGTGTCATTATGTGTGAAATAAAATCCACCCTGTTTTCACTAGTAAACTCCTTTTGGTCCTTTACCCAAGAAAAGCTCTTGAGCTGTGCTAGTCTAGCGTCTTTCAGAAACGTCTTTAGGTTTTCGCCGAATCTTTCGAAATCTGTGGATTCCGTACAAGCGTTCGGCAAAGACGTGAGCTGGTGCTGTGGAAGTGATTCTAAATCTTGTCTGATGTTTCTCGGTAGGAGAGTTTCCCAGTGATTCGAGGTGAAGAAGTCCACCATATGAGCATCCATCAGTTGCTTTTGTGTTTCCAAATAGTTTATCACATGCTTAAAATCTCGATAGAAGAGTTTATCGGTTCCGCTGGTCGCCATGTTGTGATCTTTTCACAAGGTCAGACACCAGTCCCCGCCCCAAAGTCGATTTAAGCGAACTCGAACTTCTAAAATTGTGACTGCGGGCAACGACTATGTTTTCCATTAAGATGAAAAGTATCTCGAAGAAGAAGTTACAATATTTATACTAAACCTATCACGACTATTTATAAAAGAAATGTAGCACAAAATCGACCCGGCACGATCCCCGGCAAGGGTGGGGAGGGGAGGTTTGTAGTTTTAACTCTAGTTCAACCGTGAGGGGCTAGGCCGAACTCTTTCGTGTGTGTCGGAAAGCACAGCTGATGTTCAGAGCAGCAGGTGAAGGCTTCTTCATCCTTTCAAGTTAGGGTAAGTTTAAGTCTTGGAAGTTTAAATCGATTCTTTGCATTATTTAGAAACATTTCTTAAGAGTCCTATGGTTTTGAAGGGTTTCTGTGAGTAGGTAGCCTAATATCTTGTTCATGAAAATGTGCAGCTGCGGTGAACCCCGATGAACGGAGTCGTGAACGACGGCCGCCTAAGAATCAGAAAATTTAAAAATCCCGTCGCTAATATGAACGTTAAAAGCTCTTCTAGCTTCCTTTTTCAAGGTAGCTTCCATTTTTTTGTATGTGTAGGCTAGATATAAGTATTAAGCGTTACACTTGTGTATAAATTTTGTTCAGCTCTCTCTGACAAGGAACCGAGTTTCATGTCGAGAGACCGCGCGCGCGGGGTCTTCTCTTTCAAGCTGATAATTTTGTACAGGCCTGGCTAAGGTAGGAAACTTTGTTGCGGAAACATTGTTTCTCGTTATGTTTCCGGTGAGGCTAAATTAGCGGGAAGCAAACAAGATGTTTTGCTGCCCTGGTGAGTAAACGAGTCGAGGAAATATTGTTTCGGAAAACGAAGAGCTAACTATGCGCATAATGATAAACTGACTTCCGAGGAAGTCTGGGGAAGATTGTTTGGATGGCTACACTAGGGTTGTAGCTAGAAAAATAGTCTCCCAGCTAAGATTTTCATGGAGCTGGTCACCATTTTTCACGAGAGACCTGGAACAAAATTCTTGTCCCCAATCGCAATGCCTTGAATGCAGGGCTACCAAGCTTTATATTTCCAAGATGGCAGATGCAGGGAAAAAGGCCAAAAAATAGCTGCTTTGTGTACATGTATGATAACAGCTTGTTTGGATGATGAAAATGAAGGAACCTGAAAGAAAGGCCCAGATAGAGATTGGCTGACACGCCAGGAAATTATCGAATCAAATTGGGCCAACTTTCATTTTGGCCGCGGGAGATCTGAGGCTTATTTAGGCAAAATCCAAGATGATGGATCAATGTGAAGCCAACGAATGCTAACTAATTATTTTAATAAAAGAGGCACTGAACTGCGGGAAATCAAAATGTGAGTGACAAATTTCAAATGCATATAAGCTAAAGGATTTAGACAATACATTTCAAGAGCTAAATAAGCCAGCTGAAGCGGTTATGAAAGTGAAGTTTGGCGGTCTTCGTGAGATACCCAAATACAGCATCGGCGAGCTATATCCCATGCTAGAACAAAGCATGATCTGCACAAAAACCGCAAGTTTTCGCCATTTAAGTTCAAAGATGAGCAAGGTACATCCCTGGATGGTTTGCTTTGACCTTCCCATGCCACAGGAGGTCTTCAATCTCTTGCGTAAGGAGATTCTTGGTAGAACAAGATATGGGGTAGAGGTTGAAGAGAAACGAGGATCAGTGGCTATAATGTTTTCAAGCCTGAGAAGATTATGTAACCTGTTCGAACAATTCAAAGATTGTGGTGAATTCAAAAAGCAACTTGGTGAGGGAAAAGGAAAAGCAAAGCTTATTGTAAATGATGAGAAGAAGGGAACAATGATGTACATTGCTAAAGAGGAGCTTTTAAGGGCTAAATTTTATTATGGATATTGGAATTGCTATGGCATCAGCCAGCANAGCTGGCTTTGGAGACACTAGTTTCTTAGACTACAATTTTCACTAATTCAACACTGTTGTCATATTTTACCAAAGATATCTAACTAAAACCTTTCTCTTAAAACACCTACATGTACAGATCTTTAACTTCCAAAGTAAAATTCTGGCCAGAAATGACATTTACTTGTGTATGACGGACTTAACTGAAAATTCTCCAGTACGCCAGTTTTAAACTTCCTGAAGTAAGGGGCATGTACTAATGTACTGTAGGTGCTGTAATCGAACAGTTTTAGTTTGAAATCAACTAGTGGATATTTTCAAGAATGAAACCAGCATTAGATAAAATCTTAGTCCAAAAATGACTAGCCAATCAAATCATGTGTCTCTAGAGCCACCCATTCCTCATGCCAAGACCCCACCAACTAAGAAGGACAGGCAGCTTCAATGGAGAAAAGAATTGTACATGTACGTAGATGTCTTGTTATGTCAGTAACTCAAGAGATATCAGTCTTGTTCCCACCTCCGAATTCCTGTGAAACAAGGTGATAACAGCAGCCAACAATACAAATCACCCTGACAGAGGCCTCACTCACAAAGATTCGTAGTGCCATTGGAGCTAGGTCACCACATGTGTGCAAGCCAACTATGAACATTCCATTACATCCTGTGGTAACACCATCAGAAGTTCCTAGATCATCGAAAAGTCTTGTAAGCCCTCCATTAGCGACAAATGATTGATCAACAAAACCAGTAACAGGGACAAATGAAGTTGGGCTTACAGTCTGTGGTTGTTGTGACTTTGAATTCACTACATTAGCAGCAAGTCCTGAATCAGTTATCTTACCAGACATGTTTCTGCATAGCATGTCACAATGTGTTGCACTGTCACAATGTTGAGAATTTAATGATGGCACTGATGACTGCGAAAAGGTCTCTTGTGAGCTGGCTTCTGTTGCAAGCTTAGATTTACATGTCACATCTGTAGAATGCTTAGATTCTACAACATCAGCTTCTGAAACAATGGGTTGTTTGCTTTCAGCTCCAATTATACTTTGCATTGGATTGCACACACATGAGGCTTTTTGTTGATCAATGATGGATGCCTTATTCAGACCAATGGTATCTACATGTATATTGTTATCATCATGGCTACAAACATGTGAAATGGGACAAGTTATATGATTACAGTATTTTGACGATGATTCTGAATAACCATCCTTTGTATTTCCTACATCTAAAGATCTTCCTAGTGGTTGTGAGTCAAGGTGACCACAGGTGATATTTCCTTCAGCTAAATTACTTGAGGCATTGACCTTTTCTCTTTGAAACTTTCTCGCTAGTCCTTTCCATGCTTTCAAAAGTCTTCCATTTCTTTTCGCTGCATTTTGTGTATTACTATGAGAGGAATCAACCCCTATGACATTTAATCCATACTGCAATGCTAAATGTTGACTGAGGTAGCCTTTACCACTTCCAAGATCCAAAATCTGAAAAAGTACATAGTAAGAGTTTTTTTTCGGATAATGTACACCCCATTGAGCATGGGATAGACAAAAATCTGATACTCCTTATATTCCTCTTTGGGAAAAAAGCTGTTATTGGTCTAAAACATAGACAAGAAAGAATGTTTAGTGTAGATTTTAGCAGCTGTGCCAGCAGCTGTCACAAGGCAGAAGCGTTTCATGAGACCCAATAATGTGCAGTTCCAGAAAATATCCATACCTGTACATCCACCTTGTGAAACCCATGCCTGATATGCATATGATTTCAGTCGGTACTGTACCTCAAGGAAGGTCGGCATTTCAAGGGGGAGGGGGATTAATTTCCAAAGCAAAAATGTTTCAAAGGAAAGTATGAATTCATCTATACCAGAATTTCCAGGGGGTTGGGAGTTCAAACTATCAAGAAAATCTTCCATGGGAGGGGTATGGATACTTTCTGGAAAAAACACAAATCAACTGTGAGGGAAAGCACTGAAGGAATCAAACCCACAATCTTCTTCACACGAGTCAGATACCCTAACCACTGAACTACTTATTTCAAATGTGAACAGCTCCCATGTGAATTCTGAGCATTTGGATCAGGAGTTTAATATGAAAACATTCTCTCTCTTTCTCCTCCCCTCTTCCCCGAAAGGGGTTGGGCCATCCTGTTGTTCATGAGATTTTCTGAAGGAGAACTAGATTTAGGGAAGTCCCCAGAATTTCTGCAAGGTTGTCCTGATGGCATTTCTGATCTTTTGATTTTTGGGGGGTTCAGAAGAAAGTTGGTTTTCTTTTAAGGGCCAGGGTATAAAAACATCAGAGGGTATTCTTCTGGGCATTTCTGTCTGTCGAGGTTTTACTGTTGGCAGTTCAGCTTTTATCATTTTCTTAAAGGTTTAAAGAATAGAAACTTTTGAGTCACCACCGGTCCATGGTGGGAAGGATAAAAATATGGGTATGGCCCACAGTGATAGATACATAGTTAACCAACAATACGATATCAGCAAAATAAAACAAGGGCGGACCAGAGAAAGGAATATTTACCTTGGTGACTTGAAATTGCTTGACCAATCTGTTGATTACATCTGACATAACATCCACTTCATAAGATTTTTTTGGTGTCATTATGTGTGAAATAAAATCCACCCTGTTTTCACTAGTAAACTCCTTTTGGTCCTTTACCCAAGAAAAGCTCTTGAGCTGTGCTAGTCTAGCGTCTTTCAGAAACGTCTTTAGGTTTTCGCCGAATCTTTCGAAATCTGTGGATTCCGTACAAGCGTTCGGCAAAGACGTGAGCTGGTGCTGTGGAAGTGATTCTAAATCTTGTCTGATGTTTCTCGGTAGGAGAGTTTCCCAGTGATTCGAGGTGAAGAAGTCCACCATATGAGCATCCATCAGTTGCTTTTGTGTTTCCAAATAGTTTATCACATGCTTAAAATCTCGATAGAAGAGTTTATCGGTTCCGCTGGTCGCCATGTTGTGATCTTTTCACAAGGTCAGACACCAGTCCCCGCCCCAAAGTCGATTTAAGCGAACTCGAACTTCTAAAATTGTGACTGCGGGCAACGACTATGTTTTCCATTAAGATGAAAAGTATCTCGAAGAAGAAGTTACAATATTTATACTAAACCTATCACGACTATTTATAAAAGAAATGTAGCACAAAATCGACCCGGCACGATCCCCGGCAAGGGTGGGGAGGGGAGGTTTGTAGTTTTAACTCTAGTTCAACCGTGAGGGGCTAGGCCGAACTCTTTCGTGTGTGTCGGAAAGCACAGCTGATGTTCAGAGCAGCAGGTGAAGGCTTCTTCATCCTTTCAAGTTAGGGTAAGTTTAAGTCTTGGAAGTTTAAATCGATTCTTTGCATTATTTAGAAACATTTCTTAAGAGTCCTATGGTTTTGAAGGGTTTCTGTGAGTAGGTAGCCTAATATCTTGTTCATGAAAATGTGCAGCTGCGGTGAACCCCGATGAACGGAGTCGTGAACGACGGCCGCCTAAGAATCAGAAAATTTAAAAATCCCGTCGCTAATATGAACGTTAAAAGCTCTTCTAGCTTCCTTTTTCAAGGTAGCTTCCATTTTTTTGTATGTGTAGGCTAGATATAAGTATTAAGCGTTACACTTGTGTATAAATTTTGTTCAGCTCTCTCTGACAAGGAACCGAGTTTCATGTCGAGAGACCGCGCGCGCGGGGTCTTCTCTTTCAAGCTGATAATTTTGTACAGGCCTGGCTAAGGTAGGAAACTTTGTTGCGGAAACATTGTTTCTCGTTATGTTTCCGGTGAGGCTAAATTAGCGGGAAGCAAACAAGATGTTTTGCTGCCCTGGTGAGTAAACGAGTCGAGGAAATATTGTTTCGGAAAACGAAGAGCTAACTATGCGCATAATGATAAACTGACTTCCGAGGAAGTCTGGGGAAGATTGTTTGGATGGCTACACTAGGGTTGTAGCTAGAAAAATAGTCTCCCAGCTAAGATTTTCATGGAGCTGGTCACCATTTTTCACGAGAGACCTGGAACAAAATTCTTGTCCCCAATCGCAATGCCTTGAATGCAGGGCTACCAAGCTTTATATTTCCAAGATGGCAGATGCAGGGAAAAAGGCCAAAAAATAGCTGCTTTGTGTACATGTATGATAACAGCTTGTTTGGATGATGAAAATGAAGGAACCTGAAAGAAAGGCCCAGATAGAGATTGGCTGACACGCCAGGAAATTATCGAATCAAATTGGGCCAACTTTCATTTTGGCCGCGGGAGATCTGAGGCTTATTTAGGCAAAATCCAAGATGATGGATCAATGTGAAGCCAACGAATGCTAACTAATTATTTTAATAAAAGAGGCACTGAACTGCGGGAAATCAAAATGTGAGTGACAAATTTCAAATGCATATAAGCTAAAGGATTTAGACAATACATTTCAAGAGCTAAATAAGCCAGCTGAAGCGGTTATGAAAGTGAAGTTTGGCGGTCTTCGTGAGATACCCAAATACAGCATCGGCGAGCTATATCCCATGCTAGAACAAAGCATGATCTGCACAAAAACCGCAAGTTTTCGCCATTTAAGTTCAAAGATGAGCAAGGTACATCCCTGGATGGTTTGCTTTGACCTTCCCATGCCACAGGAGGTCTTCAATCTCTTGCGTAAGGAGATTCTTGGTAGAACAAGATATGGGGTAGAGGTTGAAGAGAAACGAGGATCAGTGGCTATAATGTTTTCAAGCCTGAGAAGATTATGTAACCTGTTCGAACAATTCAAAGATTGTGGTGAATTCAAAAAGCAACTTGGTGAGGGAAAAGGAAAAGCAAAGCTTATTGTAAATGATGAGAAGAAGGGAACAATGATGTACATTGCTAAAGAGGAGCTTTTAAGGGCTAAATTTTATTATGGATATTGGAATTGCTATGGCATCAGCCAGCATTGAAAATAACAGACCCAATACTAACCACATTTGGAATTGCTCAATCATTTCCCTTTAATGATTTGAGAGACAAAGGTCTCAACAGTCCATTATATTTTAGTTTACAATATACTTGCATCTTGAAATTCATGTTTATAAATGACAATATTGTTTGAACTGACACTACAACTACAAGTTGAGTTAACATGAATACCCAACTGATTTGCATGTTCAGTGTGTATATGAATAGAGCTGGCATTCATCAGAATTATATATCCAGTAATGATCAAAATGTTATAACTTAAATTGGATATGACAAGGCTGTGCTCCAAGAAAAAATAATTGAGAGCCCTTGTCCATTAGCATTTAAACTATAGATCCAGTCCCTTAAGGGTTAATACCCTACATTGCTATACAGTTTAACTTCAGTCATCCTAATATTTTAAATGGCAAGTTTTCTGGGGCAAACAGGTGTCCCTAGAGTACAGCCTTGCATCATCAAAAACTATCACTAAGATCAGTACCTTAAACACTCTTGTGTTGGTTTGCCGTCACGTACAGATTTCTTGGTCTCCTCCATGAGTTTATGTCCACAGAAGAAGCATTGTTCAGTTTCAGCTTCTTTAGACAGGCCACAGTAGCAGTAATGCTGGGGGTCCGTACGGATGCGGGTGGGAATGAGAGTGTCATGTGACTGATGATAGGCTAATAGTGAGGGTTGCTTGATGGGGAGCCATAGCTTGCTAATGTGGTCATGCCTAAAAACCTGATACCAACGTTGTTTGTACTGGCTGTTTCCGGCAAAGCTTGCAATTTGCACATGTTTAACTTCCCTGCCCTGCATTGTATTGATACCCACTTCATTAAGACACGAGAATAAGCACATGTCCCCGTGCTATTCACTCGATGCACGGCTAGTTACTGCTAGGACTTGCTAGCGAAATGCCGATACTCTGCTCTTCAGACAACGATAGAGCCGATAGATCATTACGTATGCACAAAGCAACAAATCAACGTTCCTTTCTTCCTGACTTCCACCTTGTAGTTCCTTTTGTTTTTAATCAGTCATAAAAGTTTAAATCAATAATCAGCCATGTTCTTCAACGTAATAATTAGGACGCCGTCGTTCACGTGCTGGGTAACCTCGTTCTTACTCTGGTTGTAGATCTCCTCTCTCTTCCTCCTCTTCATCGAGGTCACTGAGATCATGAGGTTCGTCATGCAACAGTCCATTATACGGTTTGAAGTGTGAGACGTGACGGGTTCGTTGGGCGCCTGCTCTCTCAGCAGGGTCACGAAATTGTCCTTGTACAGCGCATGCTCGTCAGCGGGTGGTGAAGGGGGGCGGGTGGAAATAGCGTTTGGCAGATGGGGTGTATGTATTTTTGTGACGTTTGCCCAGTCCATTTATTTATATTTGATTTTATGATTAAACATGGCCCACATGGATGGTTTTTCATGCATCTGAGTTTCTTCAATCTGCTTGATTTTGTAATGTTATTTATTTTTAGGTTAAAATGTACGTAATGATTCGCAAAAAGTTAGCAATGCATGGCAGCAAAGATCAGCTGCAAAGCAATAAAACATTAACAGGCCATGAGGCGAGTTGTAAACTATATTGAGGTCACCCCGCAGGTCACATTTGCAAATGGGAGTGACCGCTGGCCGCCTTGGCTCTTGATTAACTTTGCCTAAATTACATTTAGTCACATGTATACATATAAACAATATTGAAACTATTATAACTGCAATTATTTTCTTACGTTGGACATGTACATCAAAAGTTGTGAGTATTTTCTATCCAAATGTTTCAATATCGGCAATCTAGCATGTCAAAAATCTGAGTCATGTAGAACAACTCCCCTAGGGACCAGTCGTAAAGTGTTCATTGACACATGATTGGATGATAAAGTAGCCTTCTAGAGTTCGTTTTGTAATTAATGCCATCCTTTTTGACATTTCAAAATCTTAACAAGGTGGAAAACTGACGAGAGAAATATTGTTCAGCTGCTCTAGCAGCCGGAGCTCCATATAGTATTATTGGGTTGTATGAGCTCAACTCTATGTGGCCAGTGGTTTGCTCTGAGCCATGGAATTTACATGTAGCCTCAAACAGGATGTCATATATTGATCACAGAAAAGCCCCTCAACGGAGGGTTCAATAGTCTCATCTCTCATCTTTTTCTTGGCTTGTATTATTTCCCATGGACTAGAGCAAGTCAGTGTTCTTGCGACTATCATCCCAAATGCGTCTTCTTCGGAAAGAGTTATGCTGCAGTTGTTGGTGCTTCATTTACTTTCAGTATTCAGTCAGCGCTATCGATGACTGACATTCTCTTTTGGTCAAAGTCTTCCTTTGTCTTCTTTGTTAGAGTAATGGCTGGGGATTCATTTTCCTGAACTTTCATTAACTTAATTCTCATTGTGTCAAAGCTTCTTGTGGCATTGTGGATGATAATGAGAAACTTCAACATCTTGTACCACTTCCAAGAGGAGTGGTAGACATTGCTTGTCATTTGGCCATGGGTTTCATATTCAGCCTTGCTTTCTTTCTTTGTAAATTGTTCTGAATGATTCAAAGTGTTCTTGTCTGTTCTTGGAACCAACAACCGTTTATCCTACAGTGGAACCGGTAACTTACGGACTGGTCAGAATAAAATACCTCACAGCTGCAGGTTTCATCAAAACAAAAGACTAATGAGAATTCTACTAGGCCTGTGAAGCTGCCTGAAGTAATAATTCAAGTTTTTTGTGGACTGTCTAACAGTACGTCCTGGGTTAATTCCAGGCTCCTCCAACACTGAATCGACTGCCATAAGCTCCATCACTGCAGTTAGCAACTGCCAAATAATATTAAATTAATATTTTAAGAGGTCTCCAATCATTTAGTGGTGGTTTTCAGGAGGGTCCTCTAAAAAATAAAGGTCTAAGATATATTTAAAGTCCAAAATACAGTATACATGTAATAATAAAAGTTGAAAACTAAGACTACAACTAAGGTCTAAAACTAGAACTAAGGTTCAAAATACTACTAACTAAGGTTAAAAATGGTTTAGTAAAAACTGTTTCAGTTTGTGTTTAAAAATCATTTTTGGCGTGAGTCTCTTGAGTTCACTCGGCAGTGAGGCTCAATCAACCCAATCAGTAAAATTATAGCAAGTTTCGCAACAACTAGGCCTGTGTGCATGTCAATTTGTTGCTTGCTACCAAATGAGGGCATTGCATGATTGCGTCATTTTGACTGTGAGTATCTCCATGAAGACTGTGTGCAAGGCAGTCTTTTTCACTCAAAGCCTCGCATATGGGCGCAATAGTATTTGGCCACAACCTTTGGAAGAGGATGTGTGTACTGATAATCAGATGATCCTTTTTGTACATCTCATTGAAAACCACACCAGTTGGACTCAAGTTGTGTTCTGTATTGTTACCCGAAGACTGGGTGTGGTGCCAGATTGCAACTTGGCATCATACATGGACTCAAAATTATTCCTATTTTCCCTTATGGTCTTTCCATGTTAAACTTGGAGTTGATCTATGGTAGTCTTTGTGAGCCTCCCAGTACATGTATTTAAAAAGTATATATTCATTCTTGAGGATGGCTTTGGCCCAGTCAATATTTCAGTAACCAAAGTTGTGACCCATGACGCTTCTGGTGGCGGCTGAAAACCATTCGTTGTCCTTTACCGGGTGATTGCCCACCAAAATCCAGCCAACGATCACCTCTTTCTCAGCCTGTGAATGTCGCCGGCAACCGGCGCCTAGCGACAACCCTGCTACATACCATACATGTAAATGTAAACATGACTTCCGACCTGTTAATATGGTGTTGGCAGCAAAAAGGTAAAAAAAAATAGCTGCTTTGTGTGTGATAATAGCTTGTTAGGACGACGAAAGTGAAGGAATCTGAAAGAAAGGCCCAGATAGAAATTGGCCAGATTGCAACTTGGCATCGTTCATGGACTCAAAATTATTTCTATTTTCCCTTATGGTCTTTCCATATTAAACTTGTAGTTGATCTATGGTAGTCTTTGTGAGCCTCCCAGTACATGTATGTTAAAAAATATATATCCAGTCTTGGGGATGGCTTTGGCCCAGTCAATATTTCAGTAACCGAAGTTGTGACCCATGATGCTTCTGGTGGCGGCTGACACATTCCAGTTTTGTGACTTTAGAAACTTGATCTTGCTCACGTAAACCAAACTTTGGATGTATATAAAAAAAATTCAATAGTAACGGTAGCATGGCTGATATAACATGGAAATGTTCATATTTAAAGGTTTTTGCTGTAAAGCACAGGCGCATTTAAACGTGCTCCATTGTTTCAGTTTGGACGGAACAGTTTCAAAAACGTTTTTTGTTTGAACATTGTACTTCATCTCTATATCTTCAAGCGACATTAGGTGTTCTTCTACATCATCAATTGTACGTTGAGGAGTGATGCTGGAATCCCCGAACAATGCTGTTAGCTGATCAGTTTAGCCTTGAAGCCACACTTCCTGTTTGTTGTCAGCAGCGCACAGCCTTATGGATGCTCGGCAGATCTTTGCGCGGTTCCACAATTTTGACACTTTATTGTATGGGCACATTCCGCATCATTTAATCTTTTTTGCAAGCCTGCCATGAAGAAGAGACTAAGTTTACTGGCAAATTTGAACATGCATTTGTCGTTACCTTGGGATAGTGGTTCGTGTCTGACTTTCTTGATGACTATCTTTGTTGTTGTTGTTGGTACACCCTCTTTCTTGGCCTTGCATTTTTTTTACTTTTACTTTTGAATGTGGGATAACATCAGGATGACACGTCTCCCAGTTGGTACACGATACATGGAAGTTCTTGCTCTGGACTGGTTCAATTGTTTTCCTATGTATGATATTTTTTCACATATAACGCATGAACCAAGTGTCTTACGGGCTTGTACAGAGTCTGTTTCATTATAGATTTGTGAATACCTCAGAAAAAACTTATTGACGTCATTGATAATGTTCTAGAATATTCTGGGACATTGAATGAAGTAAAAGTGAAACATGTGACAAATTATTCTGGAACAGAATTCTGAGACAGAACTATATTTAAAGGTGACTGTTGGCTATATATTAGAGAAAAAGTCATAGTATAAGCGAATTCGGTTTGTCCTAGCAGCCCCATTTCACTATCATCAAACATTTTTCAAAAGGAAGCACCTGTGGGTTAAGGTGCATTTTGCGTGGCATTTCTCATATGACGATTGGAGTCAATTTGTTTTTGAATTGCTTGTCCCCAAGATGGAATTTGTACCTATCCAAATTATCCAAGTGTGGGTCTTGGCAGAAGTCTCGCAGTGGTGTTGATATCAAGTCTTTTTAGGGGTGGCTGACCATCACCTATCCTAACGTGTTATTCTTAAAACGCTTATGGAAGGATCCCAACTACAGACTGAAAGTACAAGTAACTGGGGAGAAAGAAATCTAATTTCAACATCAACATAGCCAGGAAAAGCACAACTTAAAGTTATTTAAGAGTCGAAACTGGAATAATTGTGCACAATCACATTGTGATGTGGACATGGAACCACAAGAAATTGAATGGCTACTCTTGTAGAACTCTTCGGAATTTTATAATCCATAAATCCATTTCTTGATCATGCGATGTCTCAACGGACAAAACGTCGCATGCACCCCTCGTAAAGGAATAGCAGCGTTTGTGGTAAAAGATGTATATCTTTAGGGGCCATCATTTTCTTACTATGCCTACAAAACGAGAAATTGAATGGCTTCTCTTCTAGAACTCTTCGGAATTTCTTTATCCATAAATCCATTTCTTCATCATGCGATGTCTGAACGGATAGAACGTCCCATGCACTCGTTTTAAAGAAATAGCAGTGTTTGTAGTAAAAGGCGTATATCTTTTGGGGCCTTTATGTTTGTGAGTATGCCTACGAAACCATAACTTTAATGGCTACTATTCTTGCAATCTTGGGAACTATTAATCCAAAAATCCGTTTGTTTATTACGCGATGTCTCAATGGCCAAAACGTCGCATGTCCTCTTTCTAAGGAAATAGCCGTGTTTGGGCTACAAGGTGTCTATCTTTTGGGACCTTCAGGTTCCCGAGTATCCCTAAGAAACCATCAGTGAAGTGGCTGCTATTCTAGAACTCTTATAAATTATTAATCCATAAATCCATTTCTTGATAACACGATGTTTGAACGGACAAAACGTCGCATCCTCTCGTCATAGAGAAATAGCAGTGTTTGTGGTAAAAGCTGTATACCTTTAGGGCCGTCATGTTTCTTAGTATGCCTACGAAACCACAAATTGAATGGCTACTCTTCTAGAACTCTTCGGAATTTTTTAATACATAAATCCATTTCTTCATCATGCGATGTCTGAACGGATAGAACGTCGCATGCACTCGTTTTAAAAACATGGCAGTGTTTGTGGTACAATGTGTATATCTTTTGGGGCCTTTATGTTTGTGAGTATGCCTGCGAAACCATAAAGTGAATGGCTTACTATTCTTGACACCTTAGGAATTATTAATCCAAAAATCCATTTGTTTATCACGCAGTCTGAACGGCAAAAACGTCGCAAGCCCTCTTCCTAAAGAAATAGCAGTGCTTTGAGTAAAAGGTGTATATCTTTTGGGGCCTTCATGTTTGCGAGTATCCCTATGAAACCATAAATAGAGTGGCTGCTATTCTACGAACTCATAAATTATTACTCCATAAATCCATTTCTTCATCGTGCGATGTCTGCACGGATAGAACGTTGCATGCACTCGTCCTAAAGAAATAGCAGTGTGTGGTAAAATTTGTCTGTCTTTTGGGTCCTTCATGTTTTTCACTATGCCTACGACAACATAAATCAAAACTCTTGGGAATAATTAATCGATAAATCCATTTCTTGAACATCCGATGCCTGAGCGGACGAAACGTCGCATCCACTGTCCTAAAGAAATAACAATGTTTCTGGTCAAAGTCGTACATCTTTATGGGGCCTTCATGTTTCCGAGTGTGGCTACCAAACAACAAATTGAATGGCTACTCTTCTAGTACTCTTGGGAAGTTTTTAATCCATAAATCCATTTTATGATCATGCGATGTCTAAACGGACAAAACGTCGCATGCACCCCTCGTAAAGTAATAGCAGTGCTTGTGGTAATAGGTGTATCTCTTTAGGGACCATCATTTTGTTAGTATGGCTACGAAACCAGAAATTGAATGGCTACTCTTCAAGTACTTCGAAAGTACTCTTGGGAATTTTTTAATCCATAAATCCATTTCTTGATCATGCGATGTCTGAACGGATAGAGCGTCGCCTGCACTCGTCCTAAAGAAATAGCAGTGCGTGGTAAAATCTGTCTGTGTTTGTGGTCCTTCATGTTTTTCAGTATGCCTACGAAAACATAAATTGAATGGCTACTATTCTAAAACTCTTGGGAATTATTAATCGATAAATCCATTTCTTGAACATCCGATGCCTGAACGGACGAAACGTCGCATGCACTGTCCTAGAGAAATAGCAGTGTGTGGTAAAATTTGTCTGTCTTTGAGGTCCTTCATGTTTTTTCAGTATGCCTACGGAAACATAAAATGAATAGTTACTATTCCAAAACTCTTGGGAAATATTAATCGATAAATCTATTCCTCTAACATCCGATGCCTGAACGGAAGAGACGTCGTATGCACTGTCCTAAAGGAAATATTTTCGAGGTATTCCAGGATGTCTGACACAAAATACACCGAGAATATCCTTTTTAAGTCCGGCCAGTTTTACCGAATTCAACTTGATTATGTTACTTGTACATCCTCGAACAGTCTTAAAGTAAAGTAAAGTCAACTTTATTTAACAAGGTAGCCCTGTCAGCACTACCCTCATTTTTAATAAGAATATTGTTTATGCTGCACCTCTTCAAATTATATACCATAACAATAAACGCTATTGTTTGGGCTTGCTCTGTTTGCTGAGAAAGTGTTTGACAAGGAATCAACAAACTCTCCAATTTATTTTTCTGCCGATTTTAAGCTGAAAATATTCTTTGAATATTCATCGCGTAGAATGCCTATTGTTCTCGGGACATTTACTTGCAGTCGAATAAAAAATATAGGTCTGTAATATTAGCAGCGAAGCGTAAACAGGGACGCTCTGATTGGTCAAAGATCACGTACGCTTTCCTCCGAAGGGAATACTGCTTTAGCTCATTAACTTGTCAAGGCGGGGCTAAGAAACAAAGGCCTCGAAAGTTATTCTTTATTCTATTGTTTCCGATATCGCGTATTTCAAGCTGGCTATTTCAAGCGTTGGACTTGTAATG